TCGTGCCCAGTGTCCGCCTGGAAATGTCTGGTACTGTACAACTGTGCAATGGTCGGGTCGCTGTTAGTGACAACCGACGTTACAGCCTGTATGTTCGTTCCGTTTTAAGGTCTGGCAGCGCGCTCTTCCCCACCAGACCTCTCTGGTAGAGCTCTTGCAAGGCAAAAGGAAAAAATCAGGTGGAGCAGGTACTGAGGAACCCGTGGGAACGCTGCTGTTGTCCTTCCAGAGTGTGGTGGCCGAGGACTGAGTGCGATCTGCTTCCTGAGGTGCTGACACTGTGCTGGGATGGTTCAGGATGGAACAGGCAGGATTCCAGAGCACCTGGGGTTTTCTGCAGCTCTCACATGTCAGCCCAGCTCGTGTCAATCTAAGCATGGCGTAGCTGCTATCAGGAATTTTCAGTGTTTTGAAGCATCTCAGTCACCATCTGAGTGCCACATTTAGCAAAACAGAAGCGTCAGAGCATTAGATGCTCAGAAGCATCTTGGTAGGAGTTCCGATGTACTTAGGATTGTCCTGTAGCACTGAGGGGGAACGTTTCATCTGACATCAGTGGATTTCATTTGCAAAAGTGAGTGCCCTGTGTTGATATATCAGTGTGTGCTTCAGAGGAGGTCTTGACATAGCCAGCCAGACATTTTTTTCTTGGTGTGCAGCACAGGGAAGTTAGTGACAAACAAACCTATAGGAAAATATAGCCAGAGAGTAGTGGTCAATGGGACAGAGTCCAGTTGGAGGCCTGTATCCAGTGGAGTCCCTCAAGGGTCAGTACTGGCACCAGTATTGTTCAACATATTCATCAATGACTTGGATAAGGGAATAGAATGCATGGTCAGCAAGTTTGCTGATGACACCAAACTGGGAGGAGTGGCTGACACACCTGAAGGCTGTGCTGCCATTCAGAGAGACCTGGACAGGCTGACGAGTTGGGTGGGGAGAAATTTAATGAAATACAATAAGGGCAAGTGTAGAGTCTTGCATCTGGGGAAGAACAACCCCATGTACCAGTACAAGTTGGGGACTGAACTGCTGGGGAGCAGCACAGGGGAAAGGGACCTGGGGGTCCTGGTGGACAGCAGGATGACCATGAGCCAGCAATGTGCCCTTGTGGCCAAGAAGGCCAATGGCATCCTGGGGTGTATTAGAAGGGGTGTGGTTAGTAGGTCAAGAGAGGGTCTCCTCCCCCTCTACTCTGCCCTGGTGAGGCCGCATCTGGAATATTGTGTCCAGTTCTGGGCCCCTCAGTTCAAGAAGGACAAGGAACTGCTTGAGAGAGTCCAGCGCAGGGCCACAAAGATGATGAAGGGAGTGGAGCATCTCCCTTATGAGGAAAGGCTGAGGGAGCTGGGTCTCTCTAGCTTGGAGAAGAGGAGACTGAGGGGGGACCTCATTAATGTTTATAAATATGTAAAGGGTGACTGTCATGAGGATGGAGCCAGGCTCTTCTCAGTGGCATCCAATGATAGGACAAGGGGAAATGAATATAAGCTGGAACATAGGAGGTTCCGTTTAAACATGAAGAAGAACTTCTTCCCAGTAAGGGTACCAGAACACTGGAACAGGCTGCCCAGAGAGGTTGTGGAGTCTCCTTCTCTGGAGATGTTCCAAACCCGCCTGGATGCGTTCTTGTGTGATCTGATGTAGGTGGTCCTGCTCAGGCAGGGGGATTGGACTAGATGATCCTTTGAGATCCCTTTCAATCCCTAACATTCTGTGGTTCTGTGAAAATAGGGATGATTCTAACGTCTTAAGGAAGTGAGAGCTGAAGAGGGAGCATGAATTGAAAATCATTCTGGTTTGTTGTGTCAGAAAACCTGGGAAGCAAAAGATAGGCTCCAGCAGTCCAGAGACATGCATGTATACTCTACCAAATCGAAATTGTAGCAAAATTTCAGATTTGTGGATAAAAGGTTGATCTCTCCAGCATACTGAGGAGAAAATGCCACTTCTCACAGTTGTATTTCACCCAGAGCTAGACAGTTTTGCAGCATTGGTACCTCTCGTGCTTCACTTGAGCATTCAATATATTTTCAATCCTAGCTGCTAGGTACAAAGGCTGCAGAAGAATCTAATTTTTGTAAAAAAGCGTTGTTTTGACTCTCTAAAATCTGGGCATTACCTTGCAGGTAATCATGACTTGTTGACTGATTACACTGACATACACAATACAAGTAATGAAACTGATAATGCACAGAATAATCTCAGAAGAAAACTGTTGATTATGTTTTGCTAACTTTCTGCTTATATTAATTTTTGCATCAAAATACTATATAAAATTTTATCAGGTAATTTTTAAATTGAAAAGAGTTTGTGTTAACTTATGAGTTTTTTTCTTCCCTTTTTAATGAAAGAAAAATGGAGTTTTGATACCCTGTTGTCTGTGCATCTTTTAAGTATATTATCTCATCTTTTTGTGAGCAGGTGGCTTTAAATTATTTCCTCTGAAGTTACTCTATAACGTTATGCAGGATCCTTCTAAAATCTGTTTTTCAGGAAAATAAATTTTTCTTTTCTTGCAGGGAACTGACTGTCTGATGTTCGTCAGCTCTATTTGGTTGATCTATTTTCTTGCCTTTTCGTGATGAGGGATTGGAACTCACATGACAAATGAGTAAAATTCTCCAGTCTCAGCTGGGAGTCTGAAAAGATGAAGCGAAGACAGAGTTCTAAGACCCAAAAGCAGCCTCTGCAAGTTCACTATAAAAATCAAACTGATCTCTCTTCATGGCAAAAAGGAGGGAGAATTGACCCTGAGAAAAGTGTCCAGAATAATCAGTCTCCTAACAATCAGAAAAATGACAGCAAGCAAGACTCCCTTGAGCAAGCTTTGAGCTACTTTGAGAAAGGTAAGAGCAGTTTTAAGGTTGACTACCTAGGATTGAAAAGATAATAATTGAATTCTTAATAATAATAATAACAATAACAACAACAACAATAATAATAAATCTAATTTTATCTGCTGTTTTCTCTCTTTAATGCATGAACTTTGTAATATTCCTTAATCTTAAAAGATTTTCCCCTTTCTTTCACTATATAAAGAACACAACAACAAAAAATATATGTAGGGACAGTTCAGAGAAGTTTAAAATAGGTCATTTTCAGTTCAGAGGTTGTTTCATCCTTATGTTTGTTGTCTTTTTTTTTGTCCTAGTACAAGACCATGTTTCACTGAAAAAGAACAATGTTAACAATGTTCTGCAGAAACACTTGACTACTGTGGAAAGCATTGCCCTGCAAAGGGGACTACCCCCTGAAGGATTTGATGTTTTGCTAAATGTGGCACTCAGTGGCAAACTTGGTAAAATGTTTATATACTGCTAGCATGTCTTCTCTGAACATCTTTTTCCCCTCTAACCAAACCTGTTTGAGATAATGTGTTTGTGGTGACTGTATTGTTAGGTACTTTAGAGTAAAATTACATTGAAGGATGCCAGAAAGATTAATTTCTGAGTTCATAACCTCAGTTATTGCTACAGGGGAGTGATACCCAGAAAAATATTATGGCAAATATTTTTTTAAAAGCTTATTTCCTTCATTCGTAACTGCAGGCCTCTGAAAGGCTTAAAGTGTGACCTTAGCAACCATTGTGTCTTTTCCTTGTTGTAACTGTTCGTGTAAACTCCTTTTGCCCAAGATCAAAATAATTGAACGAGCTGACATAGTCGTATTAGTGAAATTTGCTAAAATTAAAATGTCATCCTAACAATCGATTCAGCAATGTCACTGCAGCCCTCTTGCTGTTTTCTTAGAAATGGTGGCCACCATTTATACTTCTAAATAATGAAATATTAAATTAAAAAAACTCTAAACTTTCCCCTCCCTCCAACTGAAGAGGAGCACACAGGATTGTTTCCTCATTATGCAAGTAGTTTAGTGCTTTTCTTGATTTAAAATTACTAGTTTATCTCCAGAACACTAATCTGCTGATGATTGAACGACAGTCATATACTCTTTTGTTGAAGGAATTGGTCGTTTAATATTACCAGAAATTTGTGGTTCTGTTGGTTGTCTGTTTCAGTGCCAAAATATTCAATATTCCATTTTCTTTAAGATGGAAATAATTATTTCTCATAATTTTTTGAGGTATAGGTAAATCCCTACTAGATTCTTGTGCACTGTTACTTTAAGCAATGAAGCTCCAAATAATCTTGTCCAGAGGGAATTTTGACCTAAGCTGCAAAACCATATCAAAGAACCTGGTACATGAACACCATCTTATTTTAAATTGTTTGTTTTCCAGCTGATACAGTTAATACTCGTTTACTGAAGAGCCTGATTCCAGCCTCAGTAATACCAGAAACTTCTGTGGTTTCATCTGTATCTTGGTTCTGTGTTGGCAAATGCTCAGGCAACATCCAGGTAACTTAGTAAATGTTTACAGTAGTTACTGCTTCTGCACAGGAGTGATGAGGACAGATTATTTTCAGGAAGCAGAAATCCTGAGGTCTTGATGTACAAGGTTCTTACATAAGATACTGTCATTTAGAAAGATTGACAGACACATCCATTGCTGGAACGGCAGTGGGAACTCAGGAACACTTTTTAAGTGTGAGTGGAAATTTGCAGAATTCCTGCTTGTCTTGTATCTCTGAATTCCTTAGGAATTGTTTCTCCACCAATATTTCTGTGAAATACTTCGGCTATGTGAGGTGTTCTTCACCAACCTCAGCAAGGTATCCCTTAGGTTCTGTCCCTTGGCCAGGACAGCATGAATTAAAAATAGTCTTTTTCATTTTGTGTAGTCTGCTCAAATGTTTGCATCATCGAATCGTAGAATCGTTTAGGTTGGAAAAGACCCTTGAGATCATCCAGTCCAACCGTAAACCTAACACTGCCAAGTCCACCACTGAACTATGTCCCTAAGTGCCACATCTACATGTCTTTTGTCTTCTAAATACCTCCAGGGATGGTGACTCAATCACTTCCTTGGGCAGCCTATTCCAATGCTCGATAACCCTTTTGAATAAATTTTTACAAATATCCAATCTAAACCTCCCCTGGTGCAGCTTGAGGCTGCTTCCTCTTGTCCTATCACTTTTTATCTGGGAAAAGAGGCTCACACCCACCTTGCTACAAGCTTCTTTCAGATTGCTGTAGAGATTGATAAGGTCTCCCTCAGCCTCCTTTTTCTCCAGACTAAACCACCCCAGTTCTCTCAGCTGCTCCTCATCAGACTTGTGCTCTAGACCTGTCCTGGTTTTGACTGGGACAGAGTTCGTTTTTCTTTTTAGCAGCTAGAAGAGCTCTGTGTTTGAGTTTTAGTCTGGGACTCATTATGAGCAGAGCGTTGATAGTGCACTGAGGTTTATAGTTGGTACTGAGACCTCAAGGACTTTTCAGCTTCCTGTGTTCTTGCCAGTGTGCAGGAGCACGGCAGACTGCGAGGGAACATCATAGCTGGGACAAAGGGTCCACAGCTCCCCTTAGAACTTAGACTTAGGATTGAGGGCTAAATTCACTAATGGAGTATTCCATATCATGCAATGTCATACCCAGTGTATAGATGGGGGTTGACTGGAAAAAACTTTCTTGCTCTTCTGAGGGCTCTTGGACTCTCAGTCTCTGAGTGCTCTCTCTCTCGTTCTCTTTTCCGGCCTCTTGTTCATCTAGGATTGTGGTGTCAGGACTTACCTGTTTTGAGATCGTTGCTGGGATGGGACAGGCATTGCTCACTGGTTGGTGAGCAATTACACTGTGCATCGCTTGTTTGTATATGTTATCATTATACATATATATGCACACATGTATTATTATTATTACTACTGCTACTTTTAATTTTATATTATTATTAAATTGCTCTCATCTCAACCCACGAGTTTCCTTCCCTTTTCCCCTTTAATTCTCTTCCCTATTCCTGGGCAGTGGGGAAGGATGAGCAAGTGGCTATGTGGTGTTTAGTTCCTGGCTGGGCTAAACCTTGACAAGGCCCTTCACCAGTTTCGTTGTTCTGCTTTGGACATGTTCCAGCTCCTCAATGTCTGTCTTGTAGTGAGAGGCCCTCAGATCATATCTGAGGGTTAGCACATATTCAGAACTGAGCTGTGTTTTTCCATTCTGATATGGCAGTTGCTACTCTTGGCAGGCTTTCTTCCACAGCTGAATTATCCCCGTACTGTTCATCTGTAGCTGTTTGTCCTTGAGAGGGGAATGTATCCCTAATGATTGTGTCTTTTAAATTGGCCGGTGACTGGTCTGTCTTGCTTTTGTGCATCGCTTAATCTAATATGGCTTTTTTCCTGTCTGCAGCTGCTTTTTTTAAGATGGCTAATCACAATGTTTGACTTCATTGATCACAAAGAACAACTTCATGCCCTCTATGGTTTCTTCTTTTCCTTCCTGCAAGATGAGAAGATGGTAAGGAGAGATGAAGAATATATGGAATTGACAAATTAAACCTAAGTGTTCATTAGTAGTATGCATATTAATGCTAGAATTAGTCTGGAGTAGCTGTTGGTTAGAGACGATTTTCTGATGGTTGGCATTTATTCTATATTTTTTTTTTTCATTTTGCATTCTAAGATAGCTGGGTAATTTAGATTCAGAAACACGGAAGTATGGTAGGATTATTTTAATTTCACTGCTGTGGTCTGATTGTTTAAACATGTTTCCAAGAATTGCTATTCTGCTTCATAAATAGAGTGACGTTATATACTGTCTAAATTTCCAAGAGTAACCGTGATGCTTCAGTCTCTGGGATTGCCTTTGATGTCAGACATCAACAGGTGAACTCTCCTACTCCTGGGGAGAAACTGACTTGCATATCTTAGGCAAAAAGAAGAAAACCTTTTAGAGCAATGTTTATTTAAAGATAAGAAGTTCTAAATGCTGTTGTACTTAGTTGGTTTGAAGTATAGCTTAAATGAGAACAAGCTATCAGGAGATTTCTGCTACATGGCAACTGTAAAATCCAGGTGCTAGAATATTGAAGTGTTTGGGTTTAGTTCATATTAAGATGATCTTGGCAGTCATATTAGACAGATAGGAAATTGTTAATATTCTTTCAGTTTAGAATATTTTGTGGTTAAGATTTCTAAAGTTCCTAAAGTTCTGAGTTATATTTCCTGCAAGTTTTTAATGGTTTTAGGTCAACATTAGTTACAATTTTTTCATAAAACTGGATTTAATTTCTTACTGTTTAAAATAGCATTTTCAGTCATGATGGGCCAACTGGAAAGTGCACAAGAGTCAGTGCGAAACTAATTTAAGACCCTTACAGCCTCAACTGTAGTTAGAAGCTCTAATAAATTATTTTGATTCAAAGATGCCTTTATTTTCGAAAATAAAATGGTACTTTCACTGCTGACTCTTGAAATATCTAGATCATGTTCCAAAAAAGATCCAAGCTCACTGAATAGCTTGATTACTGTAGGGACTGCTCACAGTGCAGAGAAGGGTTCTAAAGAAAATTGCCATGTGATATGTAAAAAACATGCTACTTCCTAAGGGAAGGAAGGTGTGCTCTGCCCTATTGGGGACATCACGGTGGCTTGAGGCAGCCCTCTGAATGAAGCAATACCAGCCTGTGGAGCCTGTACGTTGCTTGTGGTGTATCCTTGTCAGCAGTCTGCACGAGCAGGATCGTTAATTGCGACCTTTTCTTTGCAGTGCCCCTATGTCTGCCACCTGCTTTACCTGCTGACCAGGAAGGAAAGTGGTGAGTCTACCCAGTTGTATGAGATGGAATACTGTTTTGTTTCTTATCCTGTTTGCTGGCACTATCTTTTTTTTCTAATGGAGCTGATACAATGACTAGCCAATATATTGCTTTTAAGGAAAGAAAGCATGAGTGGTGGTTCAGCCTGATTTGTGTAACGTGTTCTGAATTGGAAAGCTGTCTGTTAGCCTAGAAATATGACTGTTTCGTTCTGCTTGCTTTGACATGACTTTCTATAATAAAAGTGATATTGCATTTTTGCTTAAATGTCTGATAAAGTGGTTTTTAAATCCATTATGTTCTTAATTGTATTTCCAGTCAAGCCTTTTCGGATTAGGAGGCTGCTTGACCTCCAAGTAAAAATGGTGAGTTTATTTCAGATCTTGTAGGTTAATAATGTATGTAATGTGGTTAATGCAGTATGTAAGACTAATGTCCTTACAAGATGGAGTGAAGTGGCTAGTGTCTCAGGATAGAGTTAGACTTGAAATTGGAGGTTGTAGTCTTCGTAGCACCAGGGCTTTTCTGTCTTGCATGTTCATCCCTAAGTTTCATTTGTGTTTTGTGAGCACATGCAATGACCTGCATGAAGTTATACGTTTTGTGGCTAGGTGTGGTAAAATCTCTGAAGCAAGGGGCAGCTTCATTTATCTATTGCCATCTTCAATTTTCTGTTCATCTTCCTTTTTCAAGTGGTATCAAAAAATGACAGAGAATATAAGGTTGTAGAGGATCTTGCTCCCTTTTTTATAAGAAAAAATGTAGCTATGTGTTTGGAGCATTTAGCAGAAGACTGTATTTTTCATAGCTTTGATTGTTAAATTCCTTTTTATTAGAGTTATGACTCCAGAAAGTTTGTTTTTCAATCCCCTTCCTATGGTATTTCATTGACACAGGTTCTGCTCTTCCTTTCATTTTCAGTTGTTCATCTGTGGTTACTTACTGATATGTAGCTTTCTAAAGCTTTTAGTAATCACTGGGTTTTTTTTTTTCTTCTAGAATACAGCATTCAATTTCTATATTCAAAACATACCTTGCATGTTTTTCCTTTTGTTCTGCTATTTGACAGGGAATGCAGTCTCATCTGCAGGCTCTACTATCACTTTACAAACTCTTCTGTCCTGAGCTGGTGACCATAACCCTTCCTGGGAAAATGAAGGTAAGGAATTAGATTAAATCTGTTTGGAACCAGTACTCATGACAGTATTTTTGTCAAGCTTTCCATTTAAGCAATAGCATGATTTGGTGGTGAAAATCAATTCTATTTCCTCTTTTCACTGAGTAAAATCAGGTTTAGATGAGGATTCCTCGCCTTGATTTTTGTTTCCTTTTCAGCATAAAGAGGTGATTTTGAAGTGGAATGGCATCTACCTTTATTCTTATGAGGATTACTTTAATCCTCCTTTTGATGTTCTTGCTGAGTTTGACTTGTTTCACACAATGTAAAGTTCTTCAGGAAACAAACTGTCTTCTTTGTACAAGGCTTTGTCCAAATTGCTGGCTTTCTCAAGTACAAACAACAATGGAAGTCGGCAAGTAACTTCCCACTTGGAAAGCCTATGTCATAGGAAAGGGGAAAAAAAAAAGGGTGTGGGAAAATGCAGTAAGCTGATTTGTCAGAGCCTCAAGGTAACAGCAAAAAATATGACTTTGCTTTTAGAGAAGTCTATGTGTATGCTTAGCCCTTTGACCAGGTAGAATATATGTAGCAGAAACTGAATATATAACAGAAAAATAGCAGCAGGTGAGACCTAAATCCTGCAACAACTTTTCTTTTGGTACTTCAATGGGATAAGTGTAAGGTTTGTTGGTTTTTAGTTTTGAGGGATTTTTTTTGAGACATTTAATTTATATGTAGGCAAGTTGTGTTTCTATAAAAGAAAATTTGTTTTATTTCAATTTGCTTGTGTACTTACATTGCTCTGTAAATTTCTACTTTGCATTGTACAGCACAGTCATCTGTTGGAGAATTTGTTTTTTGGCATGCATGGAAGTGAAGTAAATAACTAACAACTAAAACCCAAATACATCTTCAACTGTTTTAGGAACACACTGTGTTAACTTTTGTAATAAAAGTTTGATTACTTAAGCCCAAACCAATCTGAGTACTTTTGTGATGGTTTGGCACTTAATTAGTATTTAAAGACTGATTGCAATTGAAGTGACAAAACATAAGTTTTGTGCAGAAAAGGCTCATTTTTCCAATTTTCTTTTTAGCTGTAGTATCTATATTAATTTGAGAATTCATTGAATCCTTCTGTTTGGCAGATATCACTGATGCTTGATTTGGGAAGCTTTACTAGTAACTTGCATAAACGTACCTTGGTCATGTTTTGTTTTAATGGATACTCGAGATTTACTCTATGAATTGATGATTGATCTGAATGAGGATTATAAATCAGAAGTGTTGGAGAACTGTTCTGAAAAAGGGGACATCATTTCAGAAAGAAATAGAAGTGTAACTGTTGAACTATAGTCAAATGGTAATGAAACTGAGGAACGATGAGAGTCCTGTGCTGTGAAACCCCAGCTTCTTGGTCTGTCAAGCAGAGCTGAGTGTATATCCATCACTCTGGTGACGTTTATCAGAGTAGAAACTGATCTTTCTGTTGCTTTGTCTTAGTTTGGCTTCTTGCATAGATGTCTGATTTATGTTTTCAGACTTTCTTCAAGAATTCAGATGGCCCGTGGAAAGCAGCAATCAATGCAGTAAGGCGAAGAAAACACGAAAATTTTCCAGTATCCCAGCCACTGTTTTTAGGCACAGCTCAACCTCGGTCACGAAAAAGGGTAGGTTATGGGCCTAAGGTAGACCCTAGAAGGTGCCAAAAAGCTGTTTTATTATGTATATTGGCAAATAATGAGAGTCAGGCTTTATTTCAGCACTGGGAAGGGTGGAGTAGCTATATAGAAATGCAACTTTTCCATTATAGTGAAAGCCTGGATATTTTTTTTGCAAAACAGGATCTTTATGGGAACACTGGTTACAAGTGCACTTGATTGCATTGGAAACCGAGTCATTGCTATTCATTTGTGTTTCTTTTCTACAGAAATGGAATACCCAGTTGGTTATACCTGCAAGCAGTACAAACAAAAATAATTTAAAAGATGACAAGGAAAAGAACCATGTTGATTTGTACAGTACAAATGAGTCTTTTCCAGTGGAGCAGCTGCAGACCTTTTCTCAGCTCCTACAAAATATCTGTCATCTAGAGGTGAGTTTCAGGAAGGTCTTAGTAAGCTCACTGAATGTTCTGAGAGATCAGAGGATATTCCTTTATTCCCTGTTTCTATGTGAATAGTGTGTGGGTTACCTGGTTCTGACAAAGCACCTAGTCCTACCTGAGGATGATGAATGAGTCCTAGAGATGGTCTTGTTGCCAGTAAAAGGACTGGACAGCTCTGATAAAATGAGATTCTCTGGCAATTTGCTGATGTAAATACTGAATAACTCTTTATTTCTTTCTTTTTATTTTCCTTGATTTCTCTTGCAGTTTCCTTCCCAGATGGGTTCAGTGCTAACAAACCCTTTATTGCTTCACTACATGAATTGTATCAAAGATGAATCTATTTACCTAAGGCTCTACTATTGGATGGGGCAGACTCTTCAGGAAGGTAGGAACTTAGTATTACCTTTCATGGGAGGGAGGTAAAGGATGTCTGAGGCTTTTCACCTTTCAGTAATGGTACTTTCCTATTTAGATCTATACTGATAATCATATAGTGTTAAAACAACTGCTGGAGAACTGAATTTTGTTTCTGATTGTTCTTATTCTTGCTGTGCTCATATTCAAGTACAGTATTCTCTCCTGTTTAGAATGCACCTGGTGTGTGGCTGATAATAACCAATATGAAGAAGAATTCAAGGACTTCCTGGAAACTGTCTACAAGACAGAGTGTTTCTTGCAGGTAAGTACCTGTTTTGTGGAAGCCAAGGGTTTCACAAAGTCTTTCCATTAAAGTACTTTTGGGACTTCCCTGTTTCCTGCAGTATCTCTGAGAAGCGACAGTATCTCAAGTAATAAAAATACATATTCCTATAGCGAGTCAATATTCTGGAGATGGCCTTGTTTTCTACAGGAAAGATAATTTGAGAATGGTATTGAGAGTGATTATTTGAATGTCCTGGTAAATTGTCATGGCAGGAAGGAGGTGTAAGCCTCTTTCTTGCTCCAGGGTGAAGTGAGCATGGCAAGGTGCAGACATATGAAATGAGTTTTTGAATGTTCATCTTCTGCTTTGTAGGAAGGATTTTCTTCCTGTGAAGAGTTTCTGTACAAGAGCCTTCCTCTCTGGGATGGCTTCTGCTGCCGATCACAAATCCTCAGACTTGTGAGCTGGATCCCCCTCAGCAGCTTCTCTGGTATGTGTTGCAGATCCTTTGGGTGAGACTGGACAGTGTCTGATCTTGGGGAATAGAATTTGTGCAGAGATATACTGCTTTCTCATTTGTTTCAGAAATGAAGTCACATCTCTACGATCCTCTGGCACAGCTCTTTTTCACATCGTCCCTTTACTTTAAGGTAATTTAAGTGATTACAGTGGCTGGTTACTTCTAGTTAATATTATTATCTGTGCTTGTCAGGTGTAGCAGTCTTAGGGATTGTATAGTGGACTTCTTTTGGGGAAGTATGTGCCCAAACGAGGGTAAAATACATACTTACAACTTAAATTCTTTAGGAATTTAAGTGTCTTTAATATATTTTCTTTTTTGACTGAAATTAAACTAGGGCACTGAAAATATTAAACTGGGGCACTGGAAATAAAAAGAACTGATAGTACACAAGACAATAGTTGGTTTGGTTTATTGCACTTTTAACTCAACTTTTCCTGGAGTATGAGAGTTTCAAATACTGTGTAATGCATACATTCAGTTCAAGGGGTCATGCAATTATCTCACTGCTCTTTGTGGTCCTGAGAAACTCTTGATATCTTTCCTTGTATATGTCAATTGTCATGGCATTTTTTGTTTAGTATTATTCACTTGTGCAAATTGTCATCAACCCATTTTCTTTTTGCCTCTTGCAGTGCAGTGTTCTCGAGAGCCTGAAACAGCTGTTGCAGAACTGGTTAAATTGGCATGTAATTAATCTGGATTCAGAGTCTGACTCTCAATTCCATTCCTTGTAAGTTTGTCTGAAATAAATGCAATTCAGTGTTCTAGGCATTGTTCACTAGCGTATTTAGGTATATATTATAGCCCCATTACCTAGCATAAAGACTGACTGGAAGGTTAATAATGCTGTAATGTTTCTGCTATATTGTAAGCTACCTTGTCAATCCTGTTCTTTTTCTTTGAAGAGGAAGACACTGAAATGTCCAGAAGTCAAAATCCTTGTAACACTGACAGCTGGGTCACATTTGTAATAATGTTGGTAACATATTGTTACTTGGTATATTGAAGAACAAATGCATGTTGCCGAATGCTTGGCGAGGGGGAAGGATAAACTTCAGTTTCTTTTTTTTTACCATTCATGAAGAGGTGTATGTACTAATGTTGCATCATGTCATTGCTGCAGGAATACCACCCTTTCTGGACTGGTGAATGTGGTGGCTGAACTGATCCACTTTGTTGGATGGATCTCTACTGTTGCGTTGCGTTTGGAAAACAATTCTACTTTCTTGCTGTACTTCATCTTGGATTTCTATGAGACTGTATGTATCCCATTCATTTTGGCTTTCAAAATCCCAGTACTCTAAGGCTGTTTGCATTTTTTTAAGCTAAAACAGCTTCCTCATTATATTTTACAGAACTTTGTGATTAAATGCAAGAATGTTCCAAATACTTGCGAGATCTACAGGTGATAGCTGCTGCTGTTGCATCCATAGGCAGAACTAAATGTGCTGCTAGAAAGTGGTTTCTCTTAAGTCAGAGGTGAACTGTGGAAAGGGAAGAAACAATATGGCATAACATGCTTTTTAATGCTAATTTATAGAAAAGAACAACGTTCAGTTCAATTTCAAAAAACATATCCTGAATTTTTCTTTAAATGTTTTCTTAAAAAATGGTATTGTTTTCCCAGTTTGTCCTGTAAACAAACTAAGCAGCACCAAATAGGCTTAAGCCTATTCTCTAGCTTCCTCACATACTCTCTGCAGATGTGCTAAATGCCATGTGAACTCCAGCCATGCTGTTGTTGCTCCTATGATTTGGATAAAACTGTGAAGATTTGAAAAAACAATGATAGTTCTGGGATCTACTTGTAACTAAAACTTGTCCAGTAAAAATGCACAAAACTAATGGGCAACAACATCTGTGTAAGGCAGTGTGTTTAAAATAAGTAAATGCTCATTTAATGGGAACATACAGAGAATCATACACCCTTCGATATATGATTATTGGTGCTCTAGCAGACATCTAGGATTTGAATTCAGAACTCTAGAGATTTCTGAAATCAAGCAGCTGAGATTAAGTAAAGAGTCCAGATTTCTGAAAATACCAGTAATTCAGTTACATACAGATACCTGCCTGTCTCTTACATGGTATGGCTGTACTGAAGGCAAGAGGAAAAGTGAAGGTCTGGCAAACAATCTTGAGTGAACTAAAGTCTGTAATGAGATTAAGGGAAGGAGTCCTAAAACAACTGTTCTGCCTAATTTAAGAAAATGTAAAAAGTATTCATCTTTGGTATGGAGGCTGTCACAGCTTAATTTTTTATGGTCTGAGCTGTTTTAACTAGATACGTGTATTAGACCACTGCTCTTCTGAGAACAATGCCTACCTTCCTCAAAAGCATACCTGTGGGAATATTTAGTGTGGCTGAGCTATAGAGGACAGTAATGTGTTAAGTTACAGCAATATTACTTTCAATTATTTATCCATACTATCATTATAGCTGAAGATTTTGTTAAATTTGCAGAAATTTTAAAATATCTTTTTTACTCGAAACTCAACCTTGAATTCTAAGCATGAGTCTGATAATAACCCCATGTTTTATGGCCATATCATCTTGTCTTAGAGCAAAACTTTATTGTGTGTTCCTGCAATTCCAGCAAAGTCAAATAGATTTAATTTCCCAGTTGGAAGAGATGTATGGTCTGTTTGGCTTGCTGCTATCAGCAAACTAGGTTAGGAACAAGGTCAGGTCTAATGCAATCCCAGCTATGTATGTTGGAATGATCTAAAAGATCAGAAAAATTGGCTGCTACAGAGATCTGGGTAGATTTGACTCAACAAGTAACCATGTCAAAACATCTGGTATACCTAAACGTTTGAAGCAGAGACTGAGATATGAACTGATGAACATATACTGAGAAAGAAACAAATGGAATTGCTTCACCCTGGCCTTCCTCCTAGGTCAAGTTGATGGAGCTGGCTCAAATGGAGTGTCATGCCCTCTTTTGCTCTTAGATGCTTCGGGGTTTGTTAATGGCAGTAATAATCTGCTTGGATTTGCTTTGTTCCTGCAGGTGTGTGACGTGTATCTGAGGTACAGTCTGCCTTTGTTGATTATGCCTCCTGCTGGAGTTTTCTACCCAGCACTTCTCAGCATGGATTCTGTCAGCTTGAATCAGCTCTGCTATATTATGTACAGGTACTATAAATGGGGTGAGCTGTAGGGACTTCTTGTTGTCTCTTTCAGTCTTTTGGAAATAAAATTACTTTGGTGTAAAACCTGAGATCTACTTTTTCTTACCATGTAAGACAAAGGTGAAAGTTGCAGTTGTGCCCAGCTTTCATAATAGAGGAATTCATAGCTGTAGTTCCTACTCTTCTTTTTCTCAGTCTGTTATCCAAAATAGCAGGATTCTGACCTCTTTCCTATATCGTTTCCATATCTTTGATATGTGAAGGAAGGAGTTGCTATATTATTTTGAGAGAATTTAAGTCAGCCAGCTGGAATCGCTAGTAGTTAATTATACAACTCCTCACTCCAGTGCTTTGACCACTAGACTTGAGCTTTTCCTTACAGTCTCCATTATGTGTTGAGTAGGAAGCACTTCTGCCACCTCCAAACTTAGTGGGAATTAGGGACTGCCTTGTGCTGCCTGCAGGTCCAAAGACAGCCCTGTTTAGCTCTCTGCAGGATCCACCACCATGGCTGCTGTTCTTGGCCGTCTTAGTTTTAGTGGTTGCATCTGAGAAGAAGAGGAGTAGCCAATTGCTGACAGCTGGTGCAGGGCTCTCCATGTGGCTTTTTCTCTAAGGAGTCTGCAGGGTAATTAACATGACATGATGGTCTCTGGGAAATAGGAGGCACTAGTGTTTGTTCTGTGGAACAACTGTCAAGCTGCATTACTTTCAGTGGCTCCTGTTTCTCTGCCTAGCGAATGGAAGTCTCTCTCCTTAAAAATACACTGTATTTTTCTGCTGATTTTAAGGCTGTATGCCAATTCTTGCATGTTGCCTTTATGAAGGTGACTGTCCCAAGCAAAACTGGTCATGTCTTAATCATTTAAGAGGTGAATATTATTGGATGTCTCCCTGCTCTGCCTGGAAAAGTAGGGTCTATGCCAAGTGATGAAGTCCCTTTGAATTCTTTTTCGTATCTCTCTTTTTGACTAGTAAAGTTTGAAGATCTCTTTCATGGGCAAAATAAGCTTTCTTTTAATACATTCCTCCAGCTTTTTTCAACACTGGTAGGTAGTAAAAATTTACAGGCACCTGTCTTTCTCTTTTGTTTGTTTTTTCAGGTATCGAACCAACCTGGTGGCTGCAAAAGAAAATGAGCTGAGTAAAAAGGTATTGTGGAAAAACCTGCTGTGTGCTAGAATGGACCTTAGCAAGGAGTTGAATTGAATGGAGATGAGGTGTTCTGATGGCATTCTTTTAAAGACTGGAGGGAGCACACAACTGCTTTGAGGATGCTATTTATTTATTTGTTTTCTTGTCCCTCAGAAAATACTGCAATTCAAGTTCAGTAGCCAGACATACCAGGAGTACAACCAGTATATAATAGCTATGGTGGGTTGTCTGTGGACATCCAGTGCATTCCAGAAGGATGTTCATCCTCAAGGTCTTCAAATGAATGATGAACTGCTGAAGAAAACCACAGTGCAGGAATTCAAAACCAGCTTTAACATTGTCTACCACCCAGCCATGATGGGCTATGCTATCCTCTTCCTGCAGCAGGTAATGGTGTAGGCCAACATGTGGGCGTTTGGCAGCACCAGATGTTCCATCTTCATGGTTTCTCTAGAGAAGTGTCTCTCAGCGTGCTGGCTGACTTACAGGGTCCACTGAGCTTTCAAAATCTGGTAGGGCATTCTGTGTTTGCGTCAGATCAGTGGAACAATTTCAGTAGTCTTTGCATGGTGAAAGTGTGAATGTAACAGTTTCAGATGCGAATTTGTGCTTATGATCATTTTGAGGGTAGAACTGAAATAGCTAAATAACGAAATGACTAATTCAGTAAAAGCTTCCTAATAGTGCATTCTGCCCCACAAAATATGAAGCATGACCTAAGCATTTAAACTCTAGAAAATCAAGAAATACGTTGTTAAATTGTATACGAGTGCGCACAGTACTTTTAGCAGGGCTTTCTGGCTCTTGCAGTAGCTTTTGAGAATGACTTATTAAAAAAGAAACAGAAGCAGCTACTTCAAGTACAGAAGTAAGATAATATGGTGCAGTATTGTATTGTCTGATATGAGTTCTGGTAGTAGTTGTCTTGAATTCTGGTTGCCATCATGTGTTCAATGCAGCTACTGAATAGTGGAGGGAGCAGCTTGCCAGAGTTGTTGTTCCCAGATGTGCGTACTGCTCTGAGAAAATCAGGTTTTGTAGGCTCTCCAAGGGGTGCACACAGATGCTGTTTTGTTGTGAGGAACACTGGCAGACTGAAGGTGTGTGTAGGTGTGACTCCTGGAACGAAGCAAGGGAAACCTGAGGTTAACATTGAAGCAAAGAATGCTGGTTAGGAACACTTCACAAATTTGCCTTTGTTTATATACTCAGTGTCCTGAATCTAGGTAGTTTGTGTCTTACTGCTGATTAAAACCAAGTTTTGTCTTTGCCAGAAGAGGGTATTTTATTTTTCTTATATACAACTTCTTTTCCTTGATCTTTCTCCTGTTGTGGCAGGATTAGTTTTTGATATCTTTTGTCTAGATCCTTTCTGTTCTGAGACTTCCTGATTCCTCTTTGTAACTTTTGTAAGGAAAAAAACAAACAAAAACCCACAAACCCAAACACATACCCCCCCCAAAAGAAACAAAACAAAACACCAAAAACCAAACACGCACAAAAAAAACACCACTAAACTGAAAAAAGCCCAAACCTTTCTGGTGGAGAATTTTTTTGTTCTTCCTGCTGCAGGAACAAGACAGAGATTTTGCTTAGCAGCTATCACAGATGTATCTTGAGACAGGAAAAAATATTTAGCTGCTGTGCCATCTTTTTTAAAACACTTCAGTGCTGAGCACCAGAGGGCACTGCTCTGCAGCACGCTGGGAGAACACAAGGAATAATCTAAATGTCAGTAGGTTCTCTCCTTCTATTCCTATTGCTGGGAATTATCTATCTAATGTTTTGAAGAGATAAAGGTTAAACATACCTACAAGTATTCTCTGTTGCTATCCAGTAATGCAGCTGCACAGGACAAGAGGGTCTCCACGTTACCTTGCCACTTGTGGCAGTATGATACTGAAAGCCCATTCTGAAGCATGATTAAAAAATCTCTGAATTTCTTTGCACACCAGCAATTTCTGGTTGAGGAGGGGACTAAACAGAGGCCCAGCAACTCTGGACATTTTTTTTTTTTTTATCTGACTTGATACTGCTTTTATTCCCTCTCCTTAAGGCTTGGCCAGATGATACCGCCTTCAACTTCAGTTTAATTAAGGTAAGATTTCTTGTTCTAGTGAAGTGAAAACAGGCAATTTTCAGCAACTATGTAGAAAAGAATGAGGTGATAATATTCATCAATTCTCAAATGCTCTATAAAATTTTTGAAAGGGGAAAATTCCAGCTGTAGACTTTGGTTCAATAGGGCCAAATATGAGGACGTCAACATCTGAGAAGTTATGTATCTAGCCATCTGTGGGTAGTGATCTGAGATTTTTATATATTTCCCCAAAAAGCCAGTGCAGCATCAGGACAAGGCAGTTGATTGTTCTCTGCAGGCTCCAGAAAAAGTTATGGAGTTTGTGTACTTGAAGCAGAATTTCTGTCATCTATAAACTTTAATATTACGTTTCTGAGATGCATGTGTAGCTTTGTTACAGCTTTGAACAGGCATCCTCCACTGAGCAAGTACAGTGGTGTCCCGCTTTCCCCCGCCCCCCCCCTTTCCCCTCCCCCTTCTGGAATAAAGGCTTTAATACCAATGTTCATTTGGTTCCTGACACCTTCACTGTTGATCCAATAGGCTTTACTCTTTTTTGAACTGGGATTTATAAACATCTTCAGCATTAAAAAAAAAAAACAATAATTTGTCATGTTCAAGCTAAGAATATGTAATACATAAGTGAAAACTTTGGGTGTTTGGGAACAGGATGTGACCCTATATATTTGTGGGTATCTACAGACTAGGATGGATATTGTCAAACTGTGGAAGGTGGTATTTGCAGACCTTTTCAGATTGGCCTAAGAAGGAGACAAAGCTATGTCCTGCTCATCTGACTATTCTTTCCTTTTTATAGGG